ACTTTCAGAAATTTACAGCAGAGACCACATTTCAATCAAAATCAAAATATTACCAAGAGAAGTGAACAATAAATGTTCAAACAAACAAAGGTGGAGTTTAAAAATCCAAATTGGAACCTGTATACCGACTACTAGAAGAAGAAATCCAAAAAATAGTCGACCTTAACATCTTTAATATAGAAGAAACTACCCTTATAATCAACAGCGCGAAAAAGGCAATAGGCACAACTTATCAATCAAAAAAAAACGCTGAGTACCCTGGTGGAACGATAAAATAAAAGAAGCCGTATCCAACAAAAACAAAGCACCAATAAATTTCAAAAAAAACAAAACCTCTACTTGCACTTGAAATACTTCAAAAACATAAAAACGACAATATATTTTACACAGACGCCTCCAAATCAGATGAAAGAGTGGGAATAGCAATCATTAGCGAAAACCTCACTTCCACTTTCAAACTTCCTGAATGTTGTTCCATCTACACAGCGGAAGCCATAGCAATYCTGAAGACRGTGGAACTCATAATTGACCAAAGGAATGCACTACTTGTGGAACTAAACTCTCGGTTAACAATATAATTACCGAATGCCTCCAATACGCAGACAAACATAGATATTTTGAAATACCCAATACAATAGATGCAGCCCTCGGACCCGACGCAATCAACACCACACAAATCATCAAATTCCTAATCAAGATAAACTTGTATAATAAAATTTAAATTTAAAAATGTAGTATAAACAATATTGTAACTAATGGACTTCGCTGCCGATGTTAATAAGATCAATAAAAAAAAAAAAAGTATTATTTAATTAAAATAGATTATAACTAACAGCTTTTTGTTTTTAGAAACTCGGGGAAAATTCAGATATTTTAAAAAAAAAAAATGACACTTCTTATCTAAATTGTGTTGATTGTTATATAAACATAGGTTTAAAGTTTAAATATAGGTATTAAAGATGCATATTATAAATCAAGTGAACTCATATTATAATTTTAAATTAAATTAACTTACGTTGTACTATAATAGACAGAGAATACCCGATAGTAAAAATAAGTGCTTGATATAGTTTATAATTATAAAATATTCATAAAATGTTATGATAAAAATGGAAAATCAAGTGATATATTTGAAATTTGCAATGCATTTTATGTTTTTCGATAGAATATAATATTCAAAACATTATAATAAGGATAGATATATAATTTGAACTTTATTTTAAATAGAGTTCTTAGTTATAACATATTCAAACTTTTATGTCTACTATCAGGTCATGCATAGAATTAATCATTATAAACACAGTAGTTTAAGGTTAATATTCAATTATAATAGTTTATAGCTAAAAGTTTTATTTTTAGAAATCCTCGGAAAATTGAATGCAGATATTTAAAAAATAAAATCACACTTCTAATCTCTGTTGAATATTATATAAATAAAAGATTAACCGTTAAATATATTTAAGATGCATATTATAAATTGTGTAAAATTAAATAATT